GGAGGAGGAGGAGGAGGAGGAGGAGGAGGAGGAGGAGGAGGAGGGGGAGGAGGAGAAAGAGGAGGAGGGGGAGGAAGAGGAGCAGGAGAAGGAGGGGGAAGAGGAGGAGGAAGAGGACCAGTGTAAACCCAAGAGTCATCAACGAGGGTAAACCCTCCCTCCAAGCTCCCTCTTCAAAGGCCCCTACAACGGTTCATTTCCATTGAGGGAACTGCCTCGTTGGAAGACACCCGTTTGAAGAACCTGAAGAATACCATAACATTATTCTCGGGATTCCAACGCCACGGATCAACCTGACTGTTGCATCTTGACGATCCTGAATCGCGCCAGAAAGCCATAACTAGGACTTCAACACACAATCAACGTGACTGGATCCTTCCCAAACACCATGCCTGGTACGTTGATGACGGGAATCCGTGAAACTCTTGAACATGTTGTAAGCGAATGTGCGCGGCGCTAAAGTGAGAGCCACGTTTTGAAAAGAAACCGCCCTCAATCCGTGAAGCTCCTGCAAATGTTCAAGACGAATATGCACCGCGCTCAAGCGAGAGCCACAGTTTGAGAACCACTCGTCCTCAATCCGTGAAACTGCTGCAAATTGTTAAAAACGAATGTGCGCGGCGCTGAGGCAAAAACCACATGTTGAAAAGGAACCGCCCTCCATCCGTGAAACTCTTGCAATTTGTTTAAGAAGAATGTGCGCCGGGCTAAGGTGAGAAGTTTGAAGACGACCCGCCCTCCATCTGCGAAGCTGTTTCCAACTTTTAAGCGTTAGAATCGTATATGGTGAGGAGGTTTCAGGCGAAACGCCCGGCCCCTTCAAAACTGGCCTCGGGATGCGACAGGGAAAAATTGTTTATAAGGAAAACGAATTGGGGATGATGATGCTGATGATGCTGATGATGATGAGGAGGAGGAGGAGAAGGAATGCACGCTCCAGGCTTCCGCCTTAGGTTTGCGCAACGTCGAAAAGGAGGAGGAGGAGGAGGAAGTGCAGGAGGAAGAGGAGGAGGAATGCACGCTCCAGGCTTCCCCTTTGAGTTTGCGCAGCGTGAAAAAAGAGGAGGTGGAGGAGGAGGAGGAGGAGGAGGAGAGGAGAACACGGGCAGGTGTTTTCTATGGCGTTTTCGGAGGCTCGGGGATTCCTTTAGAGAGCCAGATAAGTCAAAAGGTTCTGGGGCTTGAGACTCTCTTGGGAGTTCCTTGGCAACTGTTGGAGTCTCTCAGGGGGCTCTGGCGCAGCAGCTCCTGGGGCCCTCTTGGAACTATCTTGGTGGGTCACTTGGGGTTCTTGCCAGATGTTTGGCTTGGTGGGGCCGTCATCGGCGTCCTCGTGGGCCGTCTGTGGGGCCTGCTGGCGAATCTTAGGGTCCTCTTGGGTCGCCATGGGGCTCCCTTAGCGTCCTCTTGGGCCGTCCTGGCGCCTTCTTCAGAGCATCCGAGCGTTTTCCTGGGGCAGTCTGAGGCCGGCTTTTGGGCCATCGGGGGACCCGCTGAAGCCGGCGTGGAGCGCCCGGAGGCGCAAAGACGCGGGAGGATCTCGGGCTGCTCGCCCCTGTCGCCCGCGCCTCGCCCAGAACTCTAGTACAGCCTAGGGCTGACCGGTGGACTACGTCCACGAAATCTGCACGAACTGGCATGTGGTTGTGGACATGCTGCCTAAAGGCTGACACGATGACGTGGGGCTCGAAAGTCAGTTCCGCGCATGCTACGGCGTGCTGCTGCTTGTTGCCGCTGCTTCGTGCTGCCGGTACGTAATGCTTACCGCTGCTGCGTGCTGTTGCTGCTGCCCGCCGTCTGCTGCTGCTGCTGCTGCTGCTGCTGCTGCTGCTGCTGCCCGCTTCGAGCTGCTGCAGCGCCTACTTGAGCGTTCTGACGCAACCTGCTGCGTGGAGCGTACCGAAGAGCGAGGAGTCAGGATCGAGAACGTTGAGGAGATCGATGGGGGGGGGGAAGCCGTGGGCGGTCAACGAAGAGCGAGGAGCGAGAAGGGCGGAGCGACGGCCCAGGGAAGATGGGCGAGGAGCGTCGAGGTTCGAGGAAGCTTCGTATCCTTATAGACCTCTGGGGGCTGTCGTCGGGCTACGGGACCGTCAGAAATCAGTCTGAGAGGAGAGACCAGTCTGGACAGATCCCCACCCCCCTTGGTCCAGAGGGCGACTCCTCGGGATTTCATCGATTTTGAGGGGGCGTTGACTTGGAGGCTCGAGGAGTGGATGCCTGCTGCTTATCATTTCTTTCGAGTGCCTGTTGCTAGTGCTATTGGCGAGCAGTTTTCCTGCTTGTGTTGGCTTGTTGCTGGCGTTATGCTCGCTTGCTTGCTGGTTGTCTGGCTTGCTTGTTGATTGCCGCTCGCTTGTTGGCTTGCTGGTTTGCTGCTTGCTGCTGCTTGCTGCTTGCTTTCTAAAGCTGTAAGGGCGGTCTCCTGGCCTGAATATAGTCCTTCCCATGTCTTCTTTGAAGCCTCTTGGGATACCTTGGAGCCCGGCTGGGCCTTCGGGGGGTAATGGGGCTGCGGGAGGGGGCGTCGTTGGGCCGCCCTGGACCGATCTCGAGCCGCCATGGGGCAGTATTAGGGCCAAGGCTGGCAATTCAGAAGCGCACGTATGGGGTACGCGCGCGGGCTGCGCCGGCTCGGGAGAGGGCAGAAGGCACTGCGGAGCATGCCCCCGGTGACCGGCGTTTCCCGGGCACTCTCAGGGAGAACTCCCCGACGGGGCGCCCATGTGAGACAGGAGCCGCTCCACCGAAAGGATCCACAAAAAAGAAGCGCCTGGGTCCCGAACTTCTGAGCAGCTGGCGCGGCCCCATAGCTCTCTAAGGGATCTTCCATCGGAAGCCTCTTGGAGGCGGTGTTGGGGGTATCTTGGGGCTTCTCAAGGGGCCTCTTGGGGCCTGGTTTGGGCCTCTTGGGGGACTCCTGGGGCTTCTCCGGGGCCTCATGGAGGCCTGCTGGCGATCTCGGGGGGCATCGTTGAGCGGAGGGCACGGAATGTCAGGTCGAGTTCCCCTCCTTGGGGCCCTCTTGGGCCCTCTCGGGCCGTCTGGAGGACCCCTTGGGGGCATGTTGGGCCGTGCTGGGGCGACCTTGGGAGCCTCTTGGGCAGCATGGGAGCGTCGGGAAACCGAAAAGGCGAGAACGTGAAAATCAATGTAAAAGAATGGGGATCAGTGATCTTGGCCTCTCGGGGCCCTCTCGGGGTGCCTCTTGGAGCCTTGGAGCCCTCGTGGGCCGTCTCGGGGCCCTGCTGGGCCGTCTGGAACCCACGTTGACGACCTCTGGGGCCGTCTGGACGCGTCTCGTGCCACCTGGGACCGTCTCGGCCCTGGGCCCGCCTAGGCCGATTTGGAACGCTTGGGCCCCCACCCTTCTGGCACGCGCCGCTCTCGACCATACGATACCTATACGACCACCCTTCGGGTGATAAGGAGGTTCGGGGGGGGAGGAACCAACGTCTCACTCGATCGGTCTCACTATCGACCTCACTATCGATCTCACTATCGGTCTCGCTCGATCGATCTCACTCGATCGATCTCACAATCGATATCACAATCGATCTCACATTCGGTCTCACTATCGATCTCGCTAACGATATCACTATCGATCTCACAATCAACGTCATCATCATCATCATCATCATCATCATCATCATCATCATCATCATCATCATCGTCGTCGTCATCAACGTCATCAACATCATCATCATCGTCATCATCATCATCATCATCATAATTATCATCGTCATCATCATCAGTATCATCACCATCATCATGGGGACACCATCATCATCATCATCACCTCATCACCATCATCATCGACATCAGCATCATCACCATCATCATCATCGGAACACCATCATCGTCACCAGCATCATTATCAACATCATCATCATCGGGACACCATCATCACCATCATCATCGGGACACCACCATAATCATCATCTCATCATCATGAACAACATCAGCATCAACATCATCACCACCAGGACATCATCATCAGCAGCAACATCATCATCATCATCACCATCATCATCGGGGCACCATCATCATCGTCATCTCCATCATTATCACCAGCATCATCATCATCGGGATACCATCATCAACATCATCATCATCAACATCATCAACATCATCATCATCATCATCATCATCGGGACACCAACATCAAAATCATCATCACCACCGCATAATCATCCTCATCATCAACATCATCATCATCGGGACGCCATCTTTGTCATCATCACCATCATCAACATCATCTTCATCACCAGGACACCATCATCATCAACAGCGTCATCAACCTCATCCACACCATCATCATCGGGACACCATCATCATCATCTTCATCATCAGTTTCGTCATCACCATCTCATCATCTCATCATAATCCGCATCATCAACATCATCATCCTGGGGACACCATCTTCATCATCAGCAACATCAGCATCATGAACATCATCATCATCGTCATCATCATCATCACCATGGCCATCATCACCATCATCATCATCAACATCGTCAACATCATCATCATCATCATCATCATCATCATCATCATCATCATCATCATCATCATCATCATCATCGGGACACCATCATCATCACCACCATAACCACCATCATCATCACCACCCATCGTCAATATCATCAATATCATCATCATCAGCAGCATCAGCATCAGCATCAGCATCAGCATCAGCATCAGCATCAGCATCAGCATCAGCATCAGCATCAACATCATCATCAACATCATCATCATCATCATCATCATCATCATCATCATCATCATCATCATCATCATCATCGGGACACCGACGGGACACCGGCGGGACACCGCGCGGCACCGGCCCCCGGAAAAAAAAAACATTTGGTCCGGCCGCGCCTCAGCCGGAGGAGCCTTTCTTCTCGCCCGCCCACGCAGCTTCGCCTCGCCCGCACGCACGGCACGCACGGACACGAAACCGAAACCGATTTCCCGGCAGGGGGGGCTCTCCGTTCCACTTCGATCTGGCTCCAGCTTCGCCTCCCATACTTCGCGCAGCAGCGCCAAAGCCCGCTGCCACTGCTCGCCCTTCTCGCACGCGCTGATTCCGGCGCTGTAGGAGAGATGACGTCGGGCTCTCAGATCGCCTCCCGAATCTCGCTGAGCAGCGCCAGCGCCGCTGCCACTGCTGCCCCGTGGCCTGCCGGCCACTCTCCGAAATGGATCGTGGGGTCTAGGCGGGCGTGTTGCCGCAAGGCATTCTAAAGGGACAACGAAAACAGAGAGAGAGAGAGAGAGATAGAGTGCGAGAGCGCGTATTTTCCGCCAGTGTTGGAGGAGTGGCAGTCGAGGGAAAAGTCACCCTTGTGGCCTGCTGTCCTGATTTCTTGGGTGCTTGCTTCACTCGATTCGCTCCCACTTGCTGCGGGTTGCTATTGCTGTGTACGCAGCTTGCTGCTACTTGCTGCTGGTTCTCGTCTCTGCTAATGCTAACTGTTGACTGGTGCTAGTACCTGCTGGCTGCGGTTTGGTGCTGCTGATTGCTGTTGTTTGTTGCTGGCTGTTGATGATTGATGCGTGCTTTTCGGTACAGGTGATACGATTCTGTGTTGGTGCTGCTGCGCTGCTGCTGCTCGGCGACACTGCTTACTGATGCAGGCTGCTGACACGCTGCCCTTCTCGCACACCCGTGCTCTACCGCCACGGAGCTCGATGAGTGTGCCATTATCAAGGCCTTCCTAAAACGCATCTTGAAGCCCTTTGGGCTGGTCTCGCGGGGGTCGTTTGGGAGCCTTTGGGGGGACTTGTCAGCCTCCTGGTGGTCTCTGGGCTGTCTTGGGGTCGTCTTGGGCAGCCCTGGGGTAGTGTGCGGGTGCCTCTTGGGCCGTCTTGGGCACCTCCTGGGCACCTCCTGGGCCGTCTTGGGGCCGCCTTGGGCGCCTCCTGGGCCGTCCTGGAGCAGTCCTGGGGCAGTCTTAGGCTGTCTGGAGGCCCTCAGGTACTCAAGGGGGCCTTTGGGATCTTGGGGACCTAGATGGCCGTGCTTCGACAACGAGAAGCAGAGTCATGCCAAACATCTACGCGTCCCCCTATACGATTTGAGCTATGTTTGCTTTATTGGGGCTGTCTGGGGACCCCTCTCTGGGGAGCCCTCTTGCAGCGCCTCGGGGGCCCCGTGTGCCGCGGGGAGGCTCTCTCGGACGTCGTGGAGCGCTCTCGGACCAACTCGGAGGTCCCTCCTTCCCGGCGCTGGAGCGCTGGAGGAGCCGTCCTGACAATGCTTTTTTCTAGGGGGTAAACAAACCTACCTCGCTTTTGACCACCCTCGCTTCCGAGAGATACCAAGCGATGCCAAACTACGGCCTGTACTGGTCAGGCCGCTTGACGAGGGGGCGCGTGGTATGACTTGGTTTTGCCTGGAAGCGAAAGCGGGGTAGGTAATTCACGCTCCGATTTTCCCGCACGCGCGGGGCCGTGCAGCACTGGTGCGAGCCCGTGTCAGATCCACGGCAGGCGGGTCGAAGTGTCGGCCCCGAGCGCGCAGAGGTCGCCGACACGAGCTGCAGAAGGAGTGGGAGAGAGCGGCACCAGAGAGAGAGAGAGAGAGAGAGGGCGGAGCCCCCCAGAGGCAGAGGAGGAGAAGCAGGCTGGGGAGGAGGGGGAGGAGGTGCAAAAGGATAAGGAGTAGGACCAGTGCAAGCCCAAGACTCATCAACGATGTTGGGATAAGCCCGCCCTCCAAGCTCCCTCTTCAGAGGCCCCCACAGGGGGTTCATTTCCACGGAAGGAAGGACCCCGTTGGGAGACATCAGTTTGAAGATCCTGAAAGGTGCCAAAACACCGTTCTCGGAACTTCAGCGCCGCGAATCACGTTGACTTTGGCGTCTTGGCGATCCCGAATCGTGCCCGAACGCAATTCCTGGGACCTCAACACCGCGAATCAACGTGACTGTTGCGCCCTGGCAATCCTGAATCGCTCCAGAACACCATGTCTAGTACGTTAACCCTGGGGATGTGTAAGACTCTTGTAATTCCTGCAAAACATATGTGCGCGGCGCTAAGGCGAGAACCGAATGTCAAAAAAGAATCGCCCTCCATCCGTGAAGCTCTTGCCGATTTGTATAACGAATGTGTGCGGCACTAATGCGAGAACTACATGCTGAGAAGCACCCGCCCTCAATCCGTGAAACCATTGCCGATGTGTGTAACGAGCGTGCGCGGCGCCAAAGCGAGAACCACATGTTAAAAGCCACGCGTCCTCGATGTGCGAAGCTGTTATCACTTTGTAAGCTTCAGGTTCGTGAATGGTAATAGAATTTCGAGCGAAACGCCTGGCCCGCCCTTCCGACAGGCCTCGGGGTGCGACAGGGAAACATCATGTATGAGGAAAAGGAAAGAGGAAGGAGGATGACGATGAGGAGGAAGAGGAAGAGGAGGGGGAGAAGGAGGAGGATGATAGGAACAGGAGGAGGAGGAGGAAAAGGAGGAGGAGGAGGAGGAGAAGAGATGATAACGGTGAGAGGAGTTGTTTGGGGCCTTGTTTGGGACCTGGGGCTTCTTTGGGGCTAGCGGCTACATTCAAGACGCAGATGTAGGATGGATGGTAAGGACGCAAGACCCCTGGAAGCCGAACTTTGGATTTTGGGGGCGACGGGCGACCCGTGAAAACGGCAAAGGAGCCGCGCTGTCTGTAGTGTCGTGGAGGTCCCCCATCCCTCGTCGGCCGAAGGGGCGGGGAGGCTTGCTGGCGTGTGCAGGGGGGGGGGAAGAAAGGAGAGGATGAGGGGGGAAGGTAGGCATACAGAAGATCGAAGTGTCGGTCCCGAACACGCAGATGTCGCCGACGCGAGGAGAGGGAGAGCGTCACCAGAGAGAGGGGGGGAGGCCCCCATAGGCAGAGAAGGCGGAGGCGGAGAAGAAGGAGGAAGATGAGGAGGAGGAGGAAAGAAGAGAAGAGAAGAAAAGACAAGACACGAGACGATAAGAGAAGAAACGTTAAGGCAAGATAATATAATATAACATTACCCTGGCGACGTACCCAACTCCTGCGCAATGCGGGGCATGAGTAGATTGGGAGTCGTTATACGGAGGTGATGACGTGACATGGGCGCCTATACTTCTGCGAGCGGCATTCGTGAGGCTCGCAGCCCCCCAAGGATTGCGATATCCCGCTCAGATCTGCCTGGTGCCTCGCTCCGCAGGACCCACCAGCAGCCCTCGAAAGTGGCGACAGTTTCGCAGATCGCAGCCCCCAGGGACGGCGAGGTCCCGCTCAGGTCCGCGCGGTGCCTAACTCCGCAGGGCCCACCAGCAGCCCTCGAAAGTGGCGACGGTTTCGCAGATCGCAGCCCCCCAGGGACGGCGAGGTCCCGCTTAGGCCCGCGCGGTGCCTCACTCCGCAGGACCCACCAGCATCCCTCGAAAGTGGCGAAAATTTCGCAAATCGCACCCCCCCCCAGGGAAGGCGAGGTCCGGCTCAGGTCAGCGCGGTGCCTCACTCCGCAGGACCCACCAGCAGCCCTCGAAAGTGGCGACAGTTTCGCAGATCGCAGCCCCCCCAGGGACGGCGAGGTCCCACTCACATCCGCGCGGTGCCTCACTCCGCAGGACCCACCAGCAGCCCTCGAAAGTGGCGACAGTTTCGCAGATCGCAGCCCCCTAGGGGCGGCGAGGTCCCGCTCAGGTCCGCGCGGTGCCTCACCCCACAGGACCCACCAGCAGCCCTCGAAAGTGGCGACAGTTTCGGAGATCGCAACCCCCCAGGGACGGCGAGGTCCCGCTCAGGTCCGCGCGGTGCCTCACTCCGCAGGACCCACCAGCAGCCCTCGAAAGTGGCGACAGTTTCGCAGATCGCAGCCCCCCAGGGACGGCGAGGTCCCGCTCAGCCTCACTCGCGCGCGGTGCCTCACTAGCAGGACCCACCAGCAGCCCTCGAAAGGCGACACAGATCGCAGCCCCCCAGGGACGGCGAGGTCCCGCTCAGGTCCGCGCGGTGCCTCATCCGCAGGACCCACCAGCAGCCCTCGAAAGTGGCGGCATTTCGCAGATCGCAGCCACCCAGGGACGGCGAGGTCCCGCTCAGGTCCGCGCGGTGCCTCACTCCGCAGGACCCACCAGCAGCCCTCGAAAGTGGCGACGGTTTCGCAGATCGCAGCCCCCCAGGGACGGCGAGGTCCCGCTCAGATCCGCGCGGTGCCTCACTCCGCAGGACCCACCACCAGCCCTCGAAAGTGGCGACAGTTTCGCAGATCGCAGCCCCCAGGGACGGCGAGGTCCCGCTCAGGCCCGCGCGGTGCCTCACTCCGCAGGACCCACCAGCAGCCCTCGAAAGTGGCGACAGTTTCGCAGATCGCAGCCCTCCAGGGACGGCGAGGTCCCGCTCAGGTCCGCGCGGTGCCTCACTCCGCAGGACCCACCAGCAGCCCTCGAAAGTGGCGACAGTTTCGCAGATCGCAGCCCCCCAGGGACGGCGAGGTCCCGCTCAGATCGCGCGGTGCCTCACTCCGCAGGACCCACCAGCAGCCCTCGAAAGTGGCGACAGTTTCGCAGATCGCAGCAGCCCCCCAGGGACGGCGAGGTCCCGCTCAGATCGCGCGGTGCCTCACTCCGCAGGACCCACCAGCAGCCCTCGAAAGTGGCGACAGTTTCGCAGATCGCAGCTCCCCAGGGGCGGCGAGGTCCCGCTCAGGTCCGCGCGGTGCTTCATTCCGCAGGACCCACCAGCGTCCTCGAAAGTGGCGACAGTTTCGGAGATCGCAGCCCCCCAGGGACGGCGAGGTCCCGCTCAGGTCCGCGCGGTGCCTCACTCCGCAGGACCCACCAGCAGCCCTCGAAAGTGGCGACAGTTTCGCAGATCGCAGCCCCCAAGGGACGGCGAGGTCCTGTTTGGATCCGCGGTGAGTACCCTCTTTGCTGGCCTCCCCAGCAGCCCTCGAAAGTGGCGACAGTCTCGCAGATCGCAGCCCCCCAGGGACGGCGAGGTCTCGTTCGGATCCGCGGTGAGTGCCCTCTCTGCTGGCCTCCTCCCCAGCAGCCCTCGAAAGTGGCGACGGTTTCGCAGATCGCAGCCCCCCCAGGGACGGCGAGGTCCCGTCTGGATCCGCGGTGAATGCGCTCTCTGCTGGCCTCCCCAGCAGCCCTCGAAAGTGGCGACAGTTTCACAGATCGCAGCCCCCCAGGGACGGCGAGGTCCCGTCTGGATCCGCGGTGAGTACCCTCTCTGCTGGCCTCCCCAGCAGCCCTCGAAAGTGGCGACAGTTCGCAGATCGCAGCCCCCCATGGACGGCGAGGTCCCTTTTGGATCCGCGGTGAGTGCCCTCTCTGCTGGCCTCCCCAGCAGCCCTCGAAAGTGGCGACGTTTCACAGATCGCAGCCCCGCAGGGACGGCGAGGTCCCGTTTGGATCCGCGGTGAGTGCCCTCTCTGCTGGCCTCCCCAGCAGCCCTCGAAAGTGGCGGCAATTTCACATATCGCAGCCCCCCAGGGACGGCGAGGTCCCGTTTGGATCCGCGGTGAGTACCCTCTCTGCTGGCCTCCCCAGCAGCCCTCGAAAGTGGCGACAGCTTCACAGATCGCAGCCCCCCATGGACGGCGAGGTCCCGTCTGGATCCGCGGTGAGGGCCCTCTCTGCTGGCTTCCCCAGCAGCCCTCGAAAGTGGCGACGGTTTCGCAGATCGCAGCCCCCCAGGGACGGCGAGGTCTCGTTTGGATCAGCGGTGAGTGCCCTCTCTGCTGGCCTCCCCAGCAGCCCTCGAAAGTGGCGACAGTTTCACAGATCGCAGTCCCCCAGGGACGGCGAGAGGAGACAAGAGGGAGGCGGGAGGCGGGAGGCGGGAGAAGGACGCGACCACACCCCTCTATTCAAAACGAATACCCAACCAGGGAGGAAGGAGGGTAGGGAATAAGAGGAGATACGAGAGGATACGAGAAGATACGATATTATAAGAGAATAGCCGAGAAGAGACAACACATAAGCTGAGATAAACTACGATAATAGACTATGATATACGAACATATAGAATAACACAGATAAATGAAGAGAAGAGACGAGGCGAGACGAGACGATAACATACTAGAGGAGAACAGGGGGGATGAGCTTTCTGGGGCCTTGTTTGGGATCTGGTGCTTTCTTTTGGGCTACTGTCGTGGAGGTCCACCCTGTAACCCCCAATCGGCCGTGGCGGGAGGGGAAAAAAGCGAGGAGAACGAGCAGCAGCAGCAACAACAGCAACAACATCAGCAGCAGGAACAGCAGGAGCAGCAGGAGGAGGAAGAGAAGGAGGAGGAGGATGGAGGAGAGGAGAACATGGAGAAGGGCTCCCTGGGGCCTTGTTTGGGGTTCGGGTTTTCCTCAGTGGCCACGGGGCTTCCAGAAACGGCGGAAGGAGCCGGGGCTGGAGGCTCTCTTGGGAGGTCCTTGGCACTCATCGACGTCTCTTGGGGGGCGATGGGACATCGAAGAGCGCTCTGGGACCTTCTCTGGGGTCTGGGACTTTCTCTGGGGAGTCTGAGAATCCAGAACGGGCGAAGGGGGCTGGGCCCATAGGCTCTGGTGGAAGCTCCTTGGCAGCTGTCGGAGTCTGCTGGGGGATTTGTCGAGCATCTCGAATCTGTCCTTCTTGGGCAGCTCTTGGGGCCCTCTTGGGCCATTGTGGGGCCCTCTTGGGCTGTCCTGGGGGCTTTTTGGCAATCTTGGGGCCATGTCGGGCATCTTGGGGCCATGATGGGGCCGTCTGAGAGCCCGTTTGGGGTCCCCTGGGGCAGCTCCTGGGGCCCTCTTGGGGGTGTCTTGGGGGGCACTTGAGGCTCTGTTAGGCCGTCTGGGGCCTGTCTTGGAGCCCTCTTGGGCCACGTTGGTGCACTCTTCGGGGCCTCGAGGGCCGTCTTTGGGCAATCTTAGAAGGACTTGAGGGTGCCGTCCTGAGCCCGTCAGGAGAAGAACGTTAGAAGCCTTGAACGACCAAAGGTTTCGCTTGATTGTTGGCCTCGTGGGGCCGTCATCGGGGTCCTCGTTGGCCGCTAGTGGAGCCTCCAGTGTTCAGGCCCTGTTGGGCCGCCATGGTGCTCGCTTCGGATCCTCTTGGGCCGTTCTGACGCCCTCTTGAGATTATGGAAGCTGTCGTAGGGCCGTCTTAGGCTGGCTTGGGGCAGTCGGGGGGCCCGCTGGAACCCAGAGGCGCGCGAGGAGATCTCGCCTTGCTCGCCCCTTTCGCACGCGCGTCGCCCAGAATAATACTACAGAAGATGTCGGGCAGCAGCTTGACCTCCCACATCTCGCTCAGCAGCGCCAGAGCCTGCTGCCACTGCTCGCCCTTCTCGCACGCGCTGATCCCAGTGTTGTAGCTGATCGCGTCGGGCAGCACCTTCGCCTCACACATCTCGCTCAGCAGCGCCAGCGCTCGCTGCCACTGCTCGCTCTTCTCGCACGCGCTGATCCCAGCATTGTAGCTGAGTGTGGCAAAACCCGGGACTACATCCTCGAAAGCTCCTCGGCGAGGTTCGCGGGGTCCAGGCGGAGATCTTGTCGACATGATTTCAGGATGACGTTGGGGTCGCGGTCGCAGTCGCCACCGTTGTCCTTGTCGTCCTGACCTTCACCCCTCCCGCTGGGTTTGCTCCCGCGGTGAAAGTTCTCACGGCCAAAATCAAATCCTAGCTGCCTGGGTTTCAAATCGGGCTCTGGGTGCGGCGCCGAAAGCACTGCTGCGCCAGAGTCGGTCCGTCGCCGGACTGCTCCGACAACTGCTTCTTTTCCAGCCGTGAGAACGCTTGCGGCCAAGGAACATGGAAAATCCGTGGAAGGCCCCGCCCCTATAGATTTTGCAGGAACTTGCAAAATCCAGAGGGGCTGTCTTGGGCCTGTCTTGGGGCTGTACTGGGCTCTTCAGGGGCAGTCTTGGGGGTCTCTTGGGGACCTCTTTGGGGCCCTCTTGGGCTGTCTTGAGGCTCTCTTGGGGCATGTGGCTGTCTGGGGGCTCTCTTGGGCTTGTCGTAGAGCCGTCTTGTGGTGTCCAAGGTCCTCTTAAGCCGTCAAGGACTTCTCCAGAGGCTCTTGAGGGCCAGCTTGTGGCTCTCTGGGGCTCCTCCGTGGGCTGTCCAGGGGCTATCGTGGGCTTTCTTGAAGCTGTTTTGGAGGACTCCTGGACGATCTTCAGGCCCTCATGGGCCGTGGGGCTCGCGGATGGTAGGGCCATCTGGAGCTTGGTCAACATAACAAAAAAAACGGGAAGGCCAAACATGTGCGTGATCCGTCCGAAGGGATTGAAACCGTTTTTGCTCCTCGGGGCGCTCTTGGGGGGTCCACTTCCTCTTGGAGCGTCGTGGGGGCCTCTTTGCCCGCCTCACGGGGCGTCTTGGGGGCGCGTGGGGCACCTTGGCGCCCTCTTGGGGAGCCTCTGGGATCTTGGGGGCATTCTTCGGGCGTCTTGGAGCCCTCCCGCGGCGTCTTGGGGGCGCCGTGGGCGCTCTCGACCGCCCACGACGCCCCCAAGACGTAGTCCGAGGGCGATCGAATTGCGGCCGTCCTGGAGGCGGAGCGCGGCCTGCCGGGGCTGGCCGGGCTGGGCGAGGGGCCCGCCGGGGCGCGGGCGAAGCCATCGGAGCAGCGCCCTCCCCAGACGCACGTGCAGGCCTCGGAACAGATTGGCGAACACTCGTGCCACATTCATCTGTCAACGCCTCCCTCTCCCCCCCATGTAGCGAACACTATGCCACATTCATCTGTCAACGCCTCCCTCTCCCCCCAGATGTTCAAAGTTGGCGGTGGGTCTGATGACGTGCACTTCGACCGTGGTCTCCCCCACGCGTGCCAACGTTGAGTTTGGGGGGAGGGAGAGTGTTCAGTAATTGTTTCCCTCTACCGTGTGTCTGCAATGCGAAGGGGGACTCGTGCACCCGTGGAAAGCCCACGGCATGCAGGTCGAGGTGTCGGCCCCGACCGCGTTGGTGTCGCCGACGCGAGCAGGAGAGCGGCACCGGAGAGAGGGGCGTGGAGGCCCTCAGAAGTATAAGAAGAGGAGGAGGAGGAGGAGGAGGAGGAGGAGGAGGAGGAGGGGCGGAGGAGGAGGAGGGAGGAGGAGGCGGAAGGAGGAGGAGGAGGAGGAGGAGGAGGAGGAGGAGGGAGGAGGAGGAGGGAGGAGGAGGAGGAGGAGGAGGAGGAGGAGGAGGAGAGGAGGGAGGTAGGAGGAGGAGGGGGAGGAGGAGGAGGAGGAGGAGGAGGAGGAGGAAGGAGGAGGAGGAGAAGGAGGAGGAGGAGGAGGAGGAGAAGGAGGAGGAGGAAGAAGAGCAGACGGGGATAGCGAGGAGAGGAGTTTTCTGGGACCTTGTTCGGGGTCTAGGGCTTTCTTTGGGGCTACAATCGTGGAGATTGCCCCTGTCACCCCTTCTCGGCCGTAGGGGTGTGGGAGGCTTGCTGGCGTGTGCAGGACGGAAAGGAGGAGAGGGTGAGGGGAAGGAGGAGGAGGAGGCGGAGGAGGAGGAGGAACGGAGGAACGGGTTTTTCCACTGCGCCGGGTGTGCGCAAGCTCCACAGGCGCCCGACCGAGGGAGGGGCGCGGGGACTGCGCCCGCGGGCTTGAACCAGAGTGCCTCGCGCAAGTAGTCTGAGGAGGTTTGGGAGTCGCTCCACACACATGAATTCCTCCATCAACCGACCGAAGATGCGAAAGGAGATCGCGCCGACCATCTTCACGATAAAATGGATGTAGCCCAACCTGCGGAGCACAGCCAACCTGGAAAGCTCAAGGAGGCCAGCTCCTCCTCCGTGTAAGTGTGTGTGTGGGGGGGGGCCATGTACTCCAAGCCGCTGCCGTGGGAATCGCTGCCCAAGGAGTCGCCGTCCGCCGCGGAGCCAAAAAACTTTGGGGAACCCACGCAGGTGCCGCCCTCGCCGATGTAGAATCGCAAGGGGAGGCAGCCTCAGCCTCATCCTGGTCGACGTTGGGCTCGCTGTAGTTCTCCTCGGACCCGTCGAAGTGAGGCGGCGCGCCGACGAAAACGCTGTCGGGATCGAAGTACGATGTGGGTCTCTCTAGATTGAGTTACACGCTGGGGAACAACGACCAACAAATTGATGTTTCTGAATACTGAAATCCCTTTTTTCCACCGACGAACAACGCGACATGAAGACACAGACCCCCCCTTCTCGAAAAAAATCTACTCAAACGACAAACAACATAGAAAACAACCTCTAACTACTAACTTTCCGGGATATACAAATAACTGGAGAGAAGAATAACACTTTTGCGCGAACCTGCGAACTTTAGATGAATGAGTTCCTGAGCCCATCCGCGAAAACCCAACAACACATACTTTCCGCGAGACTGAATTCCTGAAGCTACTGGACATAACCCACAGAAGGAGCTGGGGCCGAACGCAACCATGCACACAACTGGCGCCACTCTCGTTTTTCGGCGGCGGGCGAGCTCGGCGCATCTCGGCGCGATACCCCGCCGCGAACTCGCGGTGGCGGCACGGCGGCGGCCCCGAACACTAGGCGCACTTCGCACGCATCGGGTTCGGCGGCGGCGGCCCGTCCAGAGACCAGGGGGCACGGGGGCCCAGTGGACCTGGTGATATTGAAATTCCACCACTAGCGCCGCGCGGCGGACGAACGACGGGGCGAACCTTGCACTACTTACCTACTTATAGCCGATGAACCCCCTCTCATCTCGAAGTGGCCCTCGGAGATGTTGTGCATGAAATTGCCCTCGGAGGTCTTGGGCAAGGCGCCCTCGGAGATGTCGAAAAAAGTTTCGGTTTCAACGCTGTCGCAAACATCAATAGCCTTGGCGATCGTAGGACGCCTGGACTTACTTTCCTCGAATTGTAAGGCCGAATATGCGCCAGGCGTGAAATTACGAAGCCTCTCCGAAAGTGGTGGGCTCCTCTCCTTCTCCATCTGTGATATTCATGCCGTTTTCCTTAATATTCTTACTATTTATTTGATTAATATTATTCTCGGTGCTCTTGTCCAGCGTCACTGGGCCGGGCATCTTTGTGCGCCAGCGCTTCAGCTTCTTGACAGGCTGCAACGGCGGTGAGGGTGGCGCCGGAATCGTGCCCTTGATCGGCTCCTTCGAAGTGAGCGCCAGAGTGTCCGCGTCCAGCTTCACCATCTTGTTGACCTCCCTGACCGTGACCGGTGGCTCGTCCCAGATGCCTGGCGGAGACGAAGGAAGAGGAGGAGGAGGAGGCCCCGGCGTCCCCCGGTGCTGCGACGTGGCCCCTGCAACAGCCGCCAGGACGTGTAACGTCGGAGGTGCGCGCCTCCAGGTCGCCGCAGATGAGCGGGTGGGACGCCATGAGGTCGAGTCTGTACATGCACCCATGGAAGCACAGGTGGAGGAAGATCTCGAAGTGGTGGACCTCGGAGTTGCGAGAGAAGTGCCTCGTCTCAAGCCGCGGCCGCCTGACTTAGGCGGCGTTCAGCCCCGAGGAGGCCACATGCGCGCGGGGGCGGCCTTGGCGCGCGGCGGCCCTGGCTTGAGGAACGGAGGAGGAGGAGGAAGAGGAGGAGGAGGAGAAGGAGGAGGAGAAGGACTAGGACGAGGAGGAGGAGGAGGAGGAGGTGGAGGAGGAAGGAGGAGGAGGAGGAGGAGGAGGAGGAAAAGGAGGAGGCGGAGGAGGAGGAGGAGGAGCGAGGAGAATAGGGAGAGGGACCTTCTGGGGCATTGTTTTGGGTTCGGGTTTTCCTCTGGGTCTACGGGGGTTCCAGGAACGGCGAAAGGTGCCTGGGCTGGAGGCTCTCTTGGGAGGTCCTTGGCAACTATCTCTGGGGCATGTAGGAATGGTCTGGGGCCTCTCTGGGGGTCTGGAGCTTTTTGTGGGGCTTCGGGGGATCCAGAAGCGGCGACAGGTGCTGGGACTGGAGGCTCTGGTGGGAGCTCCGCGGCAACTGTCGGAGTCTGTTGGGATGCTCCAGGGCACCTCGGAGTAATCCTTCTTGAACAGCTCTTGGAGCCTTCTTGGGCCACTTGAGACCCTCTTGGGCCATTGTGGGTCCTCTTGGGCCGTCTGGGGGACCTCTTGGGCCATCTTGGGGCCATGGTGGGGGTCTGGGGCCGTCTGGGAGCCTGGTTTGGGCCCTCTTGTGCAGCTCCTTGGGCGTCCTCGTCTTCGGGCGGTCTTGGGGGGGCCACTTGAAGCTATGTTAGGGGGCATCTCTTGGGCCCTCTGGGGGCCTCGTCTGGGCCTCTTGGACAGTCCTAGGGCGATCATCAAACCCGCCAAACATTCGGCATGTGAGACGCTGTCGTCGTCGTCTTCGTCGTCGTCGTCAGCCCCAAGGAAATTAGGAAACGAACATAGAAAAGAAACGTCGTGATTGAATCGGTTCCCTCTCCTTCTCCCCTCCCGGGCGGGGGGGGGTCCCGGGTCAGGTTACCGCCCTCCCCTGGGGTTCCGGCTGCCTCTTCCCCGGTCCCCTCTATGAGCAGGGAGGACAGGGAGATTCCCCCTGGGGGGGGGGGGGTCCTGGAGGGTCCTCCCTGCACAGAGGCTCCCCCTGTGGCGGCTCCTTGCGCAGAGGTTCCCCCGTGTGCAGAGGCTCCCCCTGTGGAGAGGGGGCTCCTGGAGGCCCCGTGGAGGACAGGGAGGCTCCCCCTCTGCGGGGAGGCCCTGCCTGCCGTGGGGGGGGGGGGGGCCATCGGCCGGCGGCACAGGCCGCAAAAAGCCTTCGCAAACAGCCGGGGCTGTGGCGTGCCGCTCTGGGCCCGCCGTGGGGGGAGCACGATCACAGGGGGCCGCATGCGAACCCTGCAGTCGGGGCGTTGACCTAAGGAACCCTAACTAAGGAACGAGGCCCCTGTTTTCCATAAGTGAAACTTCGATTTCAGATCGAAAACCTAAGGGAAACCTCAGGCAAGCTGCGAAACAATTAAGGAACACGGAGCCCCTCCCCAATGAAAAGGGTTCCTTCTTCAGCGCCCCGACTGTACCCCTCCCCCCCGCGATTTTTGACGGGGAGGGTGGGGTTCACTTCATGAACTGTTGGCCTCGTGGGGCCGTCATCGGGGTCCTCGCGGGCCGTCGGTGGCCGCCTGGCGAGTCTTCGGGCCATCCTGGGCCGCTATGGGGTTCGCTTCGGACTCTCTTGGGCCGTCCTGCCGCCCTCTTGAGAATGGCAGGGCTGTCCTGGGGTCCTCTTGGGCCTGCTGTGGGGCCATCGAGGGATCCGCTGGAGCCGGCGCGGAGCGCCCAGAGGCGCGCGAGGATCTCGCCCTGCTCGCCCCTTTCGCACGCGCTTCGCACAGCATTCTCGTACAGAGATGACCACGGGCTTCAGCTTCGCCTCCCAGATCTCGGTGAGCAGCGCCAGCGCCCGCTGCCACTGCTCGCCCTTCCCGCACGCGCTGATCCCGGCGCTGTAGCTGACCAAGGCTGACCCGTGGATTCCGTCCACGACATCTTCCTGGAATGGTTCTCGGAGGAACGGCGGAGATTTAGCAGAAAAGCTACAAGCACGGCGGCGGCCGGGGCGGCGGCAGCGAGACCGCGCCTTCGTGTCCGACCTCTAGCAGCGCTCCAACGGTTTGCCCGTCGCGGGGCCACCGTCGTCGCCGTCATCGTCGGCGTCGTTGTCGTCGCCGCCGCGAGGCCGCCGTCGTACCCGTCGTAGTCGGCGTCGTTCTCGTTGTGGTGGTGGTGGTGGTGGTGATGGTCGTCGTCGTGGGTTGTGAGCACTGGAAGGAGGCTGGCGACGTCGGTAGGACTGACCTGTGGACTCCGTCCACGAAATCTGCACTAACTGGTATCTGATTGTGGGGCCCGACCTCGCATTCCGCGCATGCCACTGCGTGTTGCTGCTTGCTGCCGTTGTTTGTACTCTTGGTAATGTTTGAGGCCGCTGCTGCGTGTTCTCGCTGCTTGTGGATGGAGGTTGTTGCTGATGGCCAGTTCCGCTCGGTGCGTACTTCTACCCGCTGCCTGCCGCTGCTTGCTGCTGCTGTGTGCCGCCGCTGTTGCTGTCTGCTTCGTGCCCACGGGAGAGATCGATGCTGCCCCAGGGCACTCGAGATGTCGCACGGTGGGCTGTGCATGGGGGCTCACTGTGGACGCGCAGGGAGGCACGTCCTTTTGGGCGCCGTCGCCGCGCCCCTCTGGGATGAGACTGTGTCGGGGACTGCGCTCACTGGAGGCCTCTGGTGTATCTCGCCTCACTTGGGCGGCAGCGGCGAAGGGCGCCCTGGAGCCTGGAGCTGGGAGGCAATAGCAAAGGGAAGTAGCGCCCATGCTGCTGTACATTATTCGGCGCTCTTTCGCTCTTGGGGCTCCTGGGGGCCTCTTGGGGCCCTCTTGGGCTGTCTTGCGGCCTCCCGGGGACCTCCTGGGGCCCTCTTGGGCCGTCTTGCAGCCTCCTGGGGGCCTCCTGGGCCGTCTTGGGTGCCTCTTGGGGCCGTCTGGGGCCGTCTGGGGCACCTGTGGGGCCGTCTTGGGACCGTCTGGAGGCTCTCTTGGGCCATCTTTGGCCGCTCTTGGGGTTGTCTTGACTGCTTCTTAGGCTGTCATGGGCGCCACAAGAGCCGTCCCGGGGCCGTCTGGGGCCGTCGTGGAAGCCTGCTGGGGCCCTCGTGAAGCATCTTGGGGCGATTTGGGGGGCCTGCATTGTCTTCTGGGACGCTTTACAAACCAAAAACACGGGAAGTACGAAAATGCACATCTTCCTAAAAGTTTGGCATGCTTTTGCTTGCGCGGGTTCTGTCGTCCTGTGGGAGCCCACTTGGAGCTTTTTGGGAGCCTCTGGGGCCGTGTGGAAGCTATCTTGAGCGTCTCCGAGCGCTCTTGGACCGTCTCGGAGGCCCTCTTGAACCGTCCTGGAACGTCTTGGGGCTCTGTTTCGGAACGCTCTTGGGCCATCTAGGAAGCGCACAAGGGCCTGCTGGGCCTTGCAGGGGCCGCTGGGGCTCCGAACTAGTGTATCGGACCCCCGCCCTCTTCGAACGAATACCAGTGGTCAGAGTGCGCTTGCTGCTGCTCACTGCTGAAGGGTAAGCTGCTTGCATGATGATTCTGACGGCGTCCAGAGCAGCGCTAGCAGTATCAGCGGCAGCTGATCCAGGGGCATGAGCAATAGCAACAGCAGCAGCTCCAGCAGCAACAGCAGCAGTGCGGCTCCAGTAGCAGCGGCAGCAGCTTCAGCAGTACCAGCAAGATGATGGTGGGGAAACGCCACACCCCACCTCTTGGGACACGCTCGGCGCAAGAGGGGTCGCAGAAACAGCGTTCCCGGGTGTCCGCGGCTGGATCGGACAGCCATTTTCAGTACCCCCTCCCGCGCAAGAGGTGTCCCAAGAGGAGTGGAGTGTTGTTCTTGTTCCCATCATCTGGCGATTTCTAGGAGCCTATCTGAGCCGTTTGGAAGGAGCAGCTGGAGGCCTTGTGGGAGCATGTGGGGTGTGGTCTTTTCCAATCAACTGGGCCTTCTCGGAGCATGTCAAAGCCGTTTCGAGGGAGCTCCTGGAGGCGTTCCGGGAGCCTCTGGGGAGTGCCCCAGAAGCCGTCCGGGAGACTCTGGCGTGCTTGCTGGCATGGGGGGGGGAGGGGGGGGGGGGGGGCAAAATGGAGGGAAGTGGGGCGCTCCAGAATTGGCCCTGATGGACCACCCTTGGGACCGTCCTTGGGTTTTTTTCGACTGTCTTGGGACTCCCCCTCCCCCTCTCTCCCTACTCCTCCGCCTCCTGCCCCTCCGATTTCTCCTCCATCCTCCCCCTCTTGGGGTACCACGTCTTACCCAGCCCTTTATTCCACTGCATGCTCCTCCACATCCTTGATCAGGGCAACTCGTCTAGGCATCGTTTCTGGATGGACTGGTGGGGGTACTTTTCTGATCGCGACCGCGGCGCAAAGGTCGGGCGGCGTCCAGGGAAAAACTGGTGGGGTTACTTTTTTGCTACCAGCCGCAGGCGAGCGCGCCGACGGCGTGTCAAGGTCCGAGCGGGCCGCGCGATGTCCTGAATTACCTCGCACAAACAGGCCTACCGCCGCAACTCAGGCCGAGACCAGGAAGTGGCCGACTGGTGGGGCTGCTTTTTTGTCGCGGCCGCAGGCGAGAGCGCAAGCGGCGAGTCGTAAGTCCGGGGCGCGGGCCTACTAATACTGGCTGGGCTACGCGAAGCGTCTGAGATATGGATAGTTCTTTCGTCCCCCCGGTCCTCTCGCAGGACGTCTGGGAGCCCTGTGGAGCCTGGCGGGGGCCTCGTCGGGCAGTCTGGGAGCCCTCTTGCGCTGCCGAAGGGCCCCCCCCCCCCGGGGGGGGGGCCTCTCGGGCCCCTCGCGGGGCGCTCTCGGGGCAGGGCGCCGGCGCCCCGGGGGAGCGGAGCCGCGGAGGCGCCGCGGAGGTGGGAGACTCCATGGGCCCTCCACCTGTAGGGGGGCCACGCGCGAGCCCTACCCCTGCCCCCCACGAGTTCCGAGGGGGATGGGACGCACATGGACATACTAGTACTATATGTCCTCCTTGGAGGCGCGCGTCCGACCCGAACACATAGTATACCCATCTTGTAGTATATCGTTTCCCGAGCGGTGTGGCCAGAAAGCGCCCGCCAGGGAGGGTGGGGGTCGCTGCGCTCGGGAGCTCCCGAACGAGGTGAACCCCACCCCTCCCCCTCGGAAATCGTGGGGGGCAGGGGTGGGCTTCGCACGTGGCCCCCTACTTCTGGCACGCGCGATGCCCTGCGTTGTAGATCGCATGGCGTCGGGCTCCAGCTTCGCCTCCCGAATCTCGCTGAGCAGCACCAGCGCTCGCTGCCACTGCGCGCCCTTCCCGCAGGCGCTTATCCCGGCGTTGATGCTGATGATAACTAGTATGCACCCGTGGAACAGCCACGGCAAGCATGTCAAAATGTCGGCCCCGAACGCGCAGATGTCCCCGACGCGAGCAGAAGAAGGAAAGGGAGAGCGGCACCAGAAAGAGAGAGAGAGAGAGAAGGGAAGCTCTCAGATGCACAGGGTGAGGATGATGATGATGCTGATGATGAACATGATGGCGACGATGACGATGACGATGACGATGACGATGACAACTATGATGCTGATGTTGGTGATGATGATGACGATGTTGATGCTGCTGCTGATGATGTTGGTGATGTCAATGATCATGATGAAGCTGATTAGATCGATGATGATGAAGCTGCTGATGCTGGTGGTGATGATGGTGATGATGGTGAGGACGGAGTTCATTATACGAATGATGCTGATGACGGGGATGACGATAATGGTGATGATGGTGACGATGACGATGACGATGCCGATGCCGATGATGATGATAATGATGATGATGATGCTGCTGATGGTAATGGTGCCGATGATGATGAAGATGGCGATGATGATGCTGGTGAAGATGCTGATGACGATGATTATGGTGATGATGGTGATGATGAAGCTGCTGCTGTCGATGATGAGAATGATGATGATGGTGGTGGTGCTGATGATGATGGTGATGCTGATGACGTTGATGATGATGCCAATAATGACGATGGTACAACATAAAACTAATGTTCGCCAGCGTGGGCCCCACGCAATG